ACTACTTTTTGTGGTCTCACTACCATTAAAATAGTTCTATTGAACTTTCTCCTTTTAGGTATTTACCTATAAACTTTACAGAGGAAAGCATTGCTAATTCTAGGAGAATGTCATTTTTGTGATTCTCTCAAAGCACTGAGCCCAGATAGAAGATGACTTATTTTCACTACCAACAGCTGCTAAAGCTCTTGCTGTAGTCCCTGGTTGCACATCTCCTTCCAACAGCAATTATGTTATGTCGTCTTTTATTGTAGCAGGTGCTGAAGCATGTAGGGTAATTTGGTATTGTGACAGAGCTGATCCCATTTTCTGGCAAGGTAAGTTTGTTTTCTTCATTCTTTGAGTCAACTAACTTGTTAGGGGCCTCTGAGGAGCAGCTACAGAAGCAATGATCCTCTTGAAAATGTCTGCTATGATGAGCATTCACCAGGGACATAAGACTACCTTATAAAATACTATCTATAAAGCGACCTCCATATGAAGGAAGGAGAGGGGGGAGAAAAGAAAGGCTCCATTAATATTATCTTCAGACCTGTGTTATAGAGAAGGTATTGGGCTCCCCTTCTTCTTTCTAAGTGAACTCTAATTCAGAAAACATGCCGTGATATATATCCTCTTTGAGTTCAAGGAGTTATAACACAAATCTCTATATAAAACAGTCACAAACTTACTAATGAATTGTATTTTTCTGTATTTCTTTGTATGCTTTGGCACCCTATAATATCACAAGCATCACAAGATAATTATTTTCAGCTTTAGCTGTGATAGATCTAATGCTGCTTTTCATAATTACTGAATGTCTGCCTTTGGCTTTACAATCTGCCCAGAGTTAAGATTTTCTTTAAACTATTAAATATCTCATCAGGAGGATATCTCTGAGATACTGGCTAAACTCATACAAAACAAAATATAAAAAGAGTAATGTTTACCTATCTATCTATTCTTTCTTCATTTGGTTATTTCTGGATATTTTGTGTGTACATTTGTTACGTTACAGAAGCCTGTTAGGTGCTTAAGGCAGTAAATACAAATGATCTGGTACATACCATCATATACCTTAAGTATTTGAAGGAAATTTTGTGTGGTTATATTAAACAAGCAAATACAGTCAAAGCATCATATTTTAACTGTGAGGTGATGGCAAAGTACAGAGAGGGATAGAAACATAAAACATGGAGATTTCTTATAGATTAAACAGTAGATAGAACCACATTTTTAGAGTTTCAGAGTTTGGTTCACATTTGCCAAATCAGAATTCAGGCTGACTACCAGAACAAAAAAGAATGTCAGTGGGACTCTTTGACCTTGAAGAAAATACATGCCTTCCCAGAGTAAGGTTCATTAATTATGAAGAGCCCTGCCATAGCATTTAGTGAATGAACAATAATGAAAATAGAAAGTAAGTACTGAACATATTGTTAAAGCTATCACAAAAAAGTTCTCCCAAGTACAAACACATTTCAAAGGAGAAGATTGGAATTTTCAGACAAGTAATACAAACCTGTCTTAGTGAGTCACATATTATCATGGATAGTTATCTGATTTACAGTTTGTTAGACTTTCTAATCATGTAAACAAGTACATAAAATTACATAGGATTTATTTGAGTGTTTTCTTATGAAAGAATAATACTAATCTAAGAAAGAAGGCTTGAAGAGTAAGAAGCAGTTATTGTAACCCGGAAGAATGATGAAAAGATACCACAAATTTCCTAGCACTAACCATTAAAAGAGCCCAATTCACTCTCAGAAGTATACTCCTTTGCACAATAAATTAAATTGTCAGCCATTCTTGAGTACCACAAAGTCTACTGAATACTTTGAGTCACAGACTAGATTTTGCTTCTGAAACTTGTTTATTAAGATCCATATCAAAACCAAAACTTCAGTCTTTATTCATCCAATGTTCTTATCCTCCCCCAGGTAAAGTCCATTGCAGAAAAAAAGGCTGCAGCAATAGAAGGGAGGCAAGGTATAAATATTTTTTCATTATTTATTTACCTTCATTATTTACCTCCACCTCATGTAGCTATAGTTCCTTTGATAGATATAGGCTTTCTTTTCAATGAAAGATAGCCTGCTTTTGCAGCTGCACAGTTTTTTTGCAGCCTAATTATTTCTTGTAGAAGTTTGAGAATCTGAAGACTGTTGTTTGTTTTGTGTTGACTCTTATTTTCGGTACAATCTGACTGTGTTTTGACCAATATAATTTTCATTGAAATTGTGTAGGTCTCCCTGTAATCGTATAGGAACTCACTATATCAGACAAAAGCCACACAAACAAATAATTCTGTGATAAGCCCGAACTTACCTTGGGGTTCTGCCAAGAGTGCTTAGCAGCAACTTGTAAGCTTACTAGCATCTGCTGTTTTACTGAATTATTCTCTGAGGCACTAGATTTCATGGATCTGAACTCTAAGAGATGATTCTATAGCCATATCCTGAGCTTCATATTTAGATCATGTTTTTCGGGAAACATGATCAGGTGGAATCCATTTCCAATCCCAAACAATTTTAGGACTGTTCCCAAACAGGAGAGGCTGGAAATTCTAAAAATCAGCAATTACTGGCTCTCTTTAGTTTAGCAGCCATTCCTGTAGCTTATTTTTCTCCTCCCACACTTTAGTGTAAGCGGCAGGAAGACAGAAGAAGGTTTTTTTTTTTTTTTTTTTTTTACTTTAAGTTCTGGGATACATGTGCAGAATGTGCAGGTTTGTTACTTAAGTATACATGTGCCCTGGTAGTTTGCTGCACCTATCAACCCATCATCTAGGTTTTACGCTCCACATCACTGGTCATTAGAGAAATGCAAATCAAAACCACAGTGAAAAAAAGGTTGTGTTTGTTTGTTTGAGATGGAGTCTGCTTTGTCACCTGTCACCCAGACTGGAGTACAGTGATGCAATCTCAGCTCACTGCAACCTCTGCTTCCCGGGTTCGAGTGATTCTCTTGCTTCAGCTTCCTGAGTAGCTGGGATTACAGGAGCATGCCATCACGCACTGCCAATTTTTATTTTATTTATTTATTTATTTATTTATTTATTTATTGAGACAGAGTTTTGCTCTTGTTACCCACGCTGGAATGCAGTGGCACAATCTCGGCTCGCCGCAACCTCCACCTCCTGGGTTCAAGCAATTCTCCTGCCTCAGCCTCCCGAGTAGCTGGGACTACAGGCAAGCACCACCATGCCAGGCTAATTTTTGTATTTTTAGTAGAGATGTGGTTTCACCATGTTGACCAGGATGGTCTTGATCTCTTGACCTCGTGATCCACATGCCTCGGCCTCCCAAAGTGCTGGGATTATAGGCGTGAGCCACCGCGCCCGGCCTGCAAATTTTTATTTTAGTGGAGATCGAGTTTCTCCATCTTGGTCAGACTGGTCTCGAACTCCTGACCTCATGAGCCACCTATCAAACTTCCCAAAGTGCTGGGATTACAGGCATGAGCCACCACACCTAGCCAGAAGAAGTTATCTTTAAAAGTTCCTGGAAATCAATTTAGCTTGATTACTCAATCTATTAGGTACATTTTTTTTTTTTAATTTTCCATATTCCCACAGATGACAGAGTTGCTATACTTTCTGCCATTAAAGATTCCCTGTCGGGCACAGTGGCTCACACATGTAATCCCAGCACTTTGGGAGGCCAAGGCAGGTGGATCATTTGAGGGCAGGAGTTTGAAACCAACCTGGCCAACATGGTGAAACCTCATCTCTACTAAAGATACAAAAATTAGCCGGGGTTGGCGGCACATGCATGTAGTCCCAGCTACTTGGGAGGCTGAGGGATGAGAGCTGAGAACTGCTTAAATCTGTGAAGCAGAGTCTGCAGTGAGCCGAGATCACACCACTGCCCTGGGTGACAGAGTGAGACTGAGTCTCCAAAAAAGAAAAAAAAAAAAAAAAAAAATCCCTATCTTCTAGATTCCAATAACATTTTTCTTACTTTTCAAGTTCCATCATTATTCTAACAGTCTGTTCATGGCACTTCAGGTTTTCACTAATACTCCCACTTCTGCTCACCCATAAGTTATAAAGCCTCTCTCACATTGTTAGATATTTATTTGGCAGCATTCCTGCTTCAAGGTACAAAATTGTTATTAGTGATCTATTGCTATGTTACAAATTACCCCCAAACTTAGCAGCTTAAAAAAAGCAATAGATATTTATTATCTCACAACATTTCCCTGGGCCAGCAATTCAGGAGCATCTTAGCTAGGTCCTTCTGACTTGAGTCTCTCACATTAAGTTGCTGTCAAAATGTCAAGTATGCCTTTGGTCGCCTAAAAGACTAATAGGGTCAGCAGATTCATTTCTAAAATAACTGTCACATGACTGGCAAACTGACCCTGGCTGTGACAAGAGGCCTCAATTCCTCACTCTGGGGATCTTTCTATAGGGCCTCTTAAGTGTGCTTTTGACAAATGTTCCAAGAGAGAGCAGAGCAGAAGCAGTGATGTATCTTAAGACCTAACATCAGAATTCACACTTCGTCATTACCACGATATCCAACTGTTACACTAGCCGGGAGTACTTAATGTGGGAGGGGCCTACACGATGGTACAAATACCAGTGAGCAAGAGTCTTTGGGGGCCACTTTGGAGGCTTCCTACAACAAACATTTAGCTTAGTACTACGAGCTGCCTTCAAACTCTCAGAACCTGGCAAATACTTAAGCTTAACTCTTTCTGTCAGGAGACACTTTCCTGGGTTATTTAAAGAGAGCTAGCTCCCGCCCACCCCACCCACCCCTACCCATCCACCAGTTCCAGCCCTACCCACCTCCCCTCAGCACCCACCCTGCAACCCCAATCGTAACAGATGTTTAGGTCTTTTACGTCCCTTTGGATTCATCTCTATGCTGGAAATTCATCAACTACTTGTTTAGCTCCAAAGCAATCTAGCTATATCTTCAGGGTTGATCTGGAAGATGAAGATCTTTCTCCTCCCAGATAGCATTTTTGTAAAGGAGCTAGAATAGTCCCACTTTAGCTCATTTCCATACCTTGGTCCATATTTTTGCTTTGATGAACTCTGAAAGTGCCGCTCCATCCCAACACAGCCTCTCCATCTGTCAACATCTAAAAAATCCAAGTACTTCTCTTTGGCTCTCTCATGTAGGACTGAGATACCAGTTTATAAGTTTGCCCTAGCTATAGGTGAAAAATATCACTGTCTAGCAGTCCTGATGAAGGTTCTTTCTTATGAATCAAGGAATATAAAAAAGCTTCTGCTCCCACCCCCAGGGAGAAAGGATTCTTTCATTGGAAAATCAGACTCCAGGATTGCCCCCAAAAACAATTTGTTTCAAAGACCTATTTTCCATTTTTTCCAAACATTATTTATACCTTACCTATTAAAGCTATGACCCAGTGATGTATTACAAAGTAATATTAAATGTTTCTCTTCTAAATTCAGACAGATTCCCTCTAAATTGTGAAATATTTAAATATTGTTTCCTTTTGGTATTTTCACACCTGTTGCCTCACTCTTCCTACATAACACTTTTTTGTAATTATAAAGACTTATTCATTCATAAATCTGTTAATTAATGTTCTTCAAGCTTTAAGAAATAGAGAAATACCCAGTTTATTTCAGTTCACATAAAAATACACAAGGATAGTAGTAATATATATGCCCCAAGCTGGTCAAGCTGCTGCACACGGGCATTATAAGCCTTGTAATGATGACTGCTTCTCTTCTTCCCATGATACAACATCAACTCTCCATACCCAAGTACAGACCTGAAGACCTGGTTATCATGTCCTTCAATATGACGTGGATATTTGATGCGTCTATGTTATGCTTAAAAGTCTCTCTTCTGCTTTCTCTCTCTCTCTCTCTCTCTCTCTCTCTCTCTCTCTCTCTTTGTCCCCACCCCCATCTCAGTGTGTGCACCCTGTTGCTTTTCACGTTGCAGCTTTTTCTTTTATTCATTGCTCTAGATTCTTCTTTCGGTCTCTGTGTGTTTGTGTTCTTTAAGTTTATGTTCAAATTTTCCAAAGAAAGAGTAGTCTTATTGGGAGTACTCAAATCAGCATACCTATCCTGGGCTTCTGGTTTTAGTAATATACAGGTTAGATGGCTCACTTTAGTTCATGAAACAATGCTGTGTTCAGGGAAGCAGGAACAGGTGACTCAAACATACCTTCTCCCCTGTGGCCACTGTCCTCATAGAGAAGTTGAATTTTACAGGCTCACTCAACAGTGGCCTCCATCTCTGACTGCCCATAAGCCCACACTGCAATGTTTTAGAAAGTAAAAATGCCTCAGCAGTATATCTAAGAGAATGTTATGTTACAGGCTTGGAATAGGGCCTATAAAATTATAAATTTACACAAAAGTTTGGTGCAAAGCCACAGTTGAAAATCACTAAATTAGAACCCGATTGGCTCTTTCCACATGCATAAAAAATGTATGTTGAATCATTTTACACTGCCAGAAATAACTAATTGATTTATATAGCTCTTTATAGAGCTATATAAATAAAGCTTTCTTATTTATCTTTTTGTCTTTTCTTTTTATATATTTTATTTCTTTTTAGTTTCAGAGTACACGTGCAGGATGTGCAGGTTTGTTACATAAATAAAGGTGTGCCATGGTGGTTTGAAGCACCTATCAACCCCTATCATAGGTATTAAACCCGGCATGCATTAGCTATTTTTCTTGATGCTCTCTTCCCACCACTGCCCTCCCTCAAAAAGCCCCAGTGTGTGTTGTTCCCCATCCCTGTGTCCGTGTGTTCTCAATGTTCAGCTACCACTTATAAGTGAGAACATGTGGTGTGGTGCTTGGTTTTCTGTTCCAGAACTAGTTTGCTAAGGATAATGGCTTCCAGTTCCATTCATGTCCCTGCAAAGGACACAATCTCATTCATTTTATAGATGCATAGTATTTCGTGGTGTATTGTACCACATTTTCTTTATAATTTTTGTTTTAAGAAATGAATGAATTTTAATTAAATAAAATGCAAGTCAAATTATATGACCCCCAAATAAAATTTAGTTGAGTAAAATCACATTGTAACATTTTTTGTGAAGCTCTTCTCCAACTCCTTGATTAAACAAAAAACTAAATGAAAAGATCACATACTTATTAACATTATATATAAATATCTAGTGTAATTTATGTTTTTTTTTTAAATTAAAATCTTACATTTATCATGTTGCTTGGTGACTTGGGGTAGCTAGCAAAAACACTGAGATAAGTAGAACCACATTATTTCATAAAGAAGAAAAGTGGTGTAGTCATGATCCATAAACTCAGAAGACATTTCAAAACACACTATACTGGTATATTTATGAGGAAGTAAATTGTTTACAATTTTGAAAATAATCTAGGACCTTAGAAATTCTGGGTATTCTAGAGATATTTTTGGCTAGTTATCTTTCTAATGCATTTTTCTAAAACTTTCAAAATCAGGTATTCTGTTTCAGACAATGGCAGACTAGCTTTTAATCTGCTGTGGAGGAATCTTCCCACTGAGAAAACTAGAAAAGGTGAACAATTTGAATAAAATTAGATAAAGTTTTTCCTTGCAGATATCAGATATAATTTACAAAGTAATATTCCTGGAGGCAGGAAAACCAGAGAAATGGGCACTACATTTCACTTTTAACAAATTATCACAAAGACTGTCGGGAAGGTAAGTAAGTACATTTAGGACTCTTGGGGCTAGAGAGAAAAAAAAAGGAAGACCTACTAAAAACAAAAATAGGATACTGGTAAATAATTTAATTGGAATCCCAAAGGCATTCAGTCTATGATTAAGGATGAAATCAGAAATAGATTAGACCTCAAAAAAGCTTAAGCCCCTATTTGAATTGTCTTAATCTCTGGATTTGTCCCTATTTAGCTACCTATCATAAGCAAAGTATGTGAAGTAAATCTTCTTGTGCAAAGAAACAACACCCTAGGATTCAAACTATATTTACAAACTTTTGTATACAACCTAGAATTCAATTAAAAAAAAAAAAGAAATCCAGACTGTAAAAGAGATGAAACTTGGTGGAAATCAAAGCGAAAAAGACAATAGAGAAAAACCACAGGAACTACAGATAATGATTTAGCAGGCCTATACATTAAAATAATTATGGTAAATATTTATAAGAAGTTAAAAGAAAATATTTTGGTTAGATACTTGAAAAGTATTACAAAGGAACTAGGATTTGGCTATATGGACCAACAGAAAAAAAGAGAGAAAAAAACAAAATCAGAAAGTAGTTGAATTGACCGTATAGAAAAAACCAACTTTAAGCTTAATAATAACCAAAAGAAAGAAAGAGGAGAGAAAGAGAAAGAGAGAAAGAAAAAGAGAGAGAAAGAAAGAAAAAGAAAGAAAAGAAAGAAAGAAAGAAAGGAAGGAAGGAAGGAAGGAAGGAAGGAAGGAAGGAAGGAAGGAAGGAAGAAAAAGAAAGAAAGAAAAGAAAAGAAAGAGAGAGAGAGAGAGAAAGAGAAAGAAAGATGCCACTTCTAAAAAGGCAGGAATTTGATGGTGTTTTTATTTGCCTTGCCCTATCTCTCCCCTGTGTGACCTGAACTTGGTCTGAGGAGGCAGCAGCCCATTCCCCAGTTCCCTCCTTCAAACTGCACTGCAGGGAGCAAAGCAGATCTTGGTGTGATGTTTCAGTCTGTCTGCGATGCCTGGGGACGACAGAAAGAAGGGGAAGCTACAATTATGATTTGTTGAAAGTTGAAAGTTTTCAATAAACAAATTTTTGGATCTCCTCTACCTCTCTGTATAGCTGCCAAATTGCTATTCCCTAATTGTGACAGAATGATGTGACATTTCCTGGACTGGGGAATTAACAGATCAAATTGAGAGTATGTGTAGTGTACTGAAAACTCAAAAATTAAACACACATCTGCATTATGGATGCTGGGATTCTCAGTCCAGTTCTTACATTTTGCGACAAGAATACTGGCAACTAATTAAAATGGAGATTCAGTCTTATTGAGAGAAAATGGTTTGCTCAAGTTAAAAGACCACATGATAGAAGTATTAGAGGTTCTCTAACTAAATGTAAAAGCAATATTATTCTCAAGTGACACTCATACATTTGAATTCAGCTCCACAAATCTAAAACACTAGTACTCAACCAAAGATTAGCAGGTTTCTGAGGAAATATAAGGTCAGAGAATGAAATAGAAAAAATAAAATAAAAGCAACTTTGTCAAAATAGAATCTATTTAGGAAGAACACTTACAGTAAAATAAATTAATTTTTAAAAATTTGAAAATGGAATCCTATAATTAATACCAGAGAAAGAAGAAATTTAATTGCAATGACAAACTTAGAACAGGATTATACCAAAGAAAAACCTCAAAAAATACTGTTTTAAATATGATGACACAATACAATTATACTGTACTAGAATACAGAGAAATGTCCTTTCTTTTTATAAAATGAGAGAAAAAGCATGCTTTTACGCTGATTGGCCTGATTCTTTTGAAAGGGAAAAGTTGATATAAATGAAAGAGGGAAAACAATTAAAGTCATTCTCAATTTTGTTGCCTGAGTTTTTGGAGTCAAATAAAAATAAATGCCCAGGCCAATGTTATATAATTTTTGACTTTTTTTTTTTTTTTTTTTTTC